ATATATAAAAATATATACCGGAGAATCCTAATAACTCGAAATAACAAGTTGTTTTTTTATTTACACAGAAATTTAATTCATCGAGAATTATTGAGTCGAATACATTTCGAAAAATAGATTGAACAGAGATTAAAAATTTCTAATATTAAATATATAAAAATATATACCGGAGAATCCTAATAACTCGAAATAACAAGTTGTTTTTTTATTTACACAGAAATTTAATTCATCGAGAATTATTGAGAACACAATTCATTGAATAGAATTTATTTTCTATTGGATTTTTCACGACTCGAATTAACTAAAAATACTAATCATTAAACACACGAAATAAATAAAGTATGTATGTATGAAAAGAGTCCTCACTCTGAATAGTTGAAATAATAAAGAAACAAATGGAAATTATCATAAGCTCAAACAAAAAAGAAATATACAGCTCTTTGGCATTATTCTATACATTTATAAATAATTAGGCAAGTCAGCGAGTCATAGACCTTTACACATTGACCTGACCTGCAGCAGAAATATGAGAAAGTATAACGATAAAATGATTTATGACAAAAACAACTAAATTCAGCCCGTTTTGCATTAGCAGCACAAAGGACGGTCTCAGCCGTTTAGGGGCTTCGTTCGGGTATTAACTAAGCTCCAACAGGCTCGAGTACATATACAAAAACAAATGCGGCTTATAAATTGCTGTTGCTACTGCTCCTGCCCCTGCTCCTGCTGCTCCTGCTGCTGCTGCTCCTGCTGCTGCTGTCGTCGATTATGGCAAATGCCATAAAAGGTGCAAAAATGCCATTCGTAAGCTGCGAAAGGAGGACAAAAGTAGAGGCTAAGCAGGCAAAAGGCGCACGCTCGACGCTGGGCATTAATAAAATAAGGATAATTGGCATAAGCATAATCACGTTTAAGCCAACAGCCAGCGAGCAGCTGAGACGCGCCAAGACAGTAGACAGCCCAGCTAGTTGCAATTGCTTTGTGCTCCCTTGCAGCGCCACTCTCCCTATCTCACTCTCACTTACTGCCTCTCTCGCTCTCTTTTGTTGCCTGGCAGCAGGCATTTTAATTTGTCTGCCATTGCCTGCTCCTGCTTCTGCTACTGCTGCCACTGCCTTTTATCGCTAGTCAACACGCAGCCTTTTCATGGCAAATTATGGCGTTTAGAGACGACGTCTTCCACAGCCAAAGCTTCCGCCCGTCTGCGGCAACTGCGCCCGAAGGGCATCGACAGCAGCAGCAGCAGCAGCAGCAGCAGGAGTAACGGCTGTTCGGTTGGTCGCCCGTCTGAGCCGTCTGACTGGCTTCGTGCCTGTCGCTTGTTTCATTTAATGAGTCGCGTCTATGTTTACTTTTTGGCCCCAGACGAGGCACTGCTCGGGGCTAAGGCAACACCAGGCAGCCAGTCAGCTAGCAGCTATCAAAAAAGGGGCAAGCTGGCATCCGACCAGCCTTTGAAGTAATTATAGCGGCTGATTCAAGTTAATTTTTAAACAATGTCAGCAAGTCACTCGCCTCTCACACTGATCAAATTTCCAAGACTCAACTGAAAGTTCGTTAAAGCTTAGCCTCGCACAGATTTATACCTAACGGACACTCTCGTTGCCCTTTCTTTGAGGGCAAACAAAGAGAATGGAAAGGAAAGTAAAAGGGAAAACCAAGTGGTTAGCAAAGTGTGTGGAGAGAGAAAATGCAAGAGCTTGCGCTCTGCAAATGTTTTTACTAGAAAAACTTGCTTAAAATATTTTGTGCATTTTTTTGAACTAATACTTGCCATAGAGAATCAAAGTTCTGACCTTAAGAGGAATCTAAAGAAATTTGAGACTTTGTAGAATACCACCCTTATCCAATCCTGCATATGCTGACATTTTCATTAATCATGCCTCCACTGTTTGATCTCCACCCACTCCACTCTAGTCGCCCAGCCATACCCCTTCATTGAACTTCCATGACCATATTTCTAGCAAATATAATTAGTGTCATTAATTAGAGCATATTAGAACTGACATCATAGGTATTCTCACGTAGAGTGTTAACATTATGAAAATTTTAACGAATTTACACTTTCTATGATAATAATTTCAATTAAAATCTATTTGCTATTTTCAAGCACCTAAGCATACTGTCAATTAATAAAATATGCAAATTGTCAAAAGTAATAATACTAAGAAATAAATAAAACAAAAAATCATAAACATACAAAAAATTAAATAAATATAATA